ACCTCAGACCAGGAAGAGGGGAGCGACCTGACGGAGCGCAGGGCCGGCCGCCGAGGCCAGTGTGGATGGGCCCCCGAGGGAGGCAGAGGGGCCCTGCCACCCCCACCCTAAGCTGTCCAGGGTCACGGGGTGGCCGCACAGGCCCCGCACCGCTGCTCCCCTGGAGAAGGCATTCCGGGCTCCATGAGCTGGCCTCCTGGGAACCAGACCTTCCCATCTTCGAAAGCGTACACGGGGCATCAGGTGCCAGAGCTGGGGAGGAATCTGAAGCTGTTGTAACTTTATTTTTAGCATTTTGCAAACAGCACTCTATTTTCAGGAGGAACAAACCACAAGGGCTTCTGCCCCTCGGCTGCTCTAAGGCCTCTGCTCTCTTGGCAGAGGGCACCACGTGTCCTGCTCCCGCAGCCACGGGCCCCCCTCCGCTCACACGCAGCACCGCAAAGGCCGCGAGGGCAGGTTTCACTTTTCTGACCGGGACCAAGCGCCCCGTCACACCCATCAGACGCCAGTGATCTACTGCACAGAGAGGTCTAATCACAGCACTTCCCTGGGGGACGTGGGGAGGGGGGGGGCTCTCACCAGGACTAACACGGGCTCGAGAGCCTGGGAGCAATACAGTGATCACACACGTGTCCTTCACGTGTGAGCCGTGGCCCCCCCGTCCTTCACGTGTGAGCCGTGGGTCCCCGTCCTTCACGTGTGAGCCGTGGCCCCCGTCCTTCACGTGTGAGCCGTGGCCCCCGTCCTTCACGTGTGATCTGTGGGCCCCTCCACTGGCTCTGAGAAGAGGAACTTAATTATCAAGTGAACACGGACTGCTTTTTGGCGCGGCGGTTTCTCTCCCTGCACCGCTGGCCGCCATGCTGGGATCATACTCAACAGCTCTCGCCCATGATCCAGGTCTAAGTACCGTGTATTCCAGCCACGGTCTCCATCCACACAGCCAGGCGTCCATCCCGCCCCGCCCCCCCACCTGCCCGACAGGCGAGTGCAGCCTGGGCGCCAGGCGCCGTGAAGCTGCTGTCCTCCCATAACGGCCACCCTATACGTGTGGAATCCAGTCCCACTACAGACGGGGACACCGAGGCCTGTGCAGACACGCAGCTCACCCAAGATCACCCTGTGGATGGCAGAAACGGGACCTGATTCCAAAGCTCAGAAGGTTGCCTGGCCCCCACCCCGACCCCACGGAGCCACGGCCTTCAGTGTCTGCCTCCTGTGCCCTGCGCCCCCCAGGGCTGCCTTCTGCATGGCCGCCGGCCCACGCCTGTCGCCTACCCAATGCAGCACAGCAAGCCCAGGGACTGAAGTTCAATCACGCATACGCCACGGACCCCAGAGCTGGGCGGCCGGCTGCAGGAAGGCAGAGGCCATGGGTCTGCATCCAAGCTCGGCCACGGGCCCCTCTTCCAACGACCCTGGGAGGCGGCAGCGCCCACAGCACCACCGAGGCAGGCACCCACTGCCCGGGCCGCAGCAGCTGCATTCCCCTAAATATACTCAGCGTGTGCTCCATATTCCTCCCTCTACCATCCGTTCTTACTTGAAAGAAGTCTTTTGAGAGCTTGGGAAGCAAACACTTGGCAGACGCGGATGCCCAGCTCTTTGTATTTGATGATCTCTTCCAGGATCTAACTGGAAGATTAACGACCATTAGCTGCCTCGATGTTTATAAAATCTAAGCCATACGTAGCTATTACACCACATAAGACACACAATTTAGGATGCGACTTGCTCCATGTTTTCTGGAAGAACACGATTTTTTCTAGAGCCAGGTGTCCAGAGCCGTACACCACAGTGACCGCTGCCTGGAGCCCCACCTCCCCGGGTTGCACGGGCTGGAGGGACACAGGGCGCGCCCGCAGGTTTAGGAATGATTTCACAACAAAATCGGGTTCCAGGGGCGTAACCCATATTGCACGCACAGTTGGACAAAGTTGGCCAACTGCTTCATTTACAAGATTCTGCTCCAAATAAATCTTGACCGTTCCCAGACATCACACCCACCCTCACAGACAAGCCGGTACTGGGCAGTGGGGACAGCCAGGCGCCGAGGCTCGGGCTCAGGGAGGGGGTTGCGAGCGCGGCTCAAGCGCACACGTGCGGGGCCACGGCCAATGCTCCATGTGGCAGAGGGGTGGGGTCACGACCACAGTCCCCAAGCTGCTTTCAAACTGTGTGGCCTCCATGTCTCCCGGCTCCCTGGTCTCACTTTCTCAACTGTCAGGTGAGGGAGTCCAATTCCGGGACCCTGAGGTCTGTGTCTCTTTACGTGGACGTGGACTGCTTTACAATCGGCGTGAGCCCTGCTATAGCTGCGAAGCCACGTGGTGGACGTCTGGGGACCCTGAGTGTCCTCAGCACCAGCCGTGCACACTGCTGAGCAACTACGTGCACACGGGACGGGATCCACACTCTCCGCGCGGTGGGTGCTGGACCCTCCTCTCTAACCAGACAGGGAAAGAGCCAAAGACCTTGGACCTGGGATGAGGGAGCACAAGCCTGTGCCGCGGGCCCAGTGGGTGCAGCAGATGTCTGTCTGGTGTGGACGCTGGCAGCGGGGAGGCTGTGCACGTGAGGTCAGTGGGGGGGGGGGGAGTCTCTGTTCCCTTCCCTCAACCTTGCCGTGAACCCGTTAAAACCACTCCAAAAGTTACGTCTCTTAAAAGCAAGGTGAAAACCCTTCATCTACAAGAGGCCCCTCAACAAAATGAAAGCACAGGAAACAAAGGGACGCAGCGTGGGGCGGAATGGCCGCGTCCACCGGCGCCGCCCTGGGGGCTGGGAGCGAGGTCCCCGCACTGGGCTGTGCCAGCAGAGGGCAGCACGGGGATGGGGCAGCGGGTTCCGAAGGGAGCCCACCGGCCCACAGGCTCAGCATCCGAGATGACAGTGACCTCACGAGCCTCCTCCGCTCAGGGCCGCATCTGGGGAGGCAGGCCGGGTGCAAAGAGGGGTCACGGCAGGGGACAGCGCGGCTCAGGAGCCCCGGCTGCCCGGCGCACTCGTCTTGGGAGCAGCCCCGCTGTCACCCAGCGGTCTCTGTCCCCGAGGACAAACGCGTGTCGTTTACTTCCTGGCCCAGCAGACGTGCCTTGAGCTGCACTGAGCGACCGCCCCGTGGCCACCAGCACCTCCCCTGTGCACACGCAGGCGTCCTCGTGGGGCACGTCCAACCTCAGGTCACATTTCTGAAACAACACCGCGTCTCAGACGCCCGCTCGCGTCCTTCAGAGAGGCACTCCTGCGTGTCCCCGCCCTCGGGCCTGTGCGGCCAAGCCGGTGACCCCGGGTGCATCCTTGCGGAGCCCCCACAGGGACGTGTGGCCAGAAGGCAGGGGACAGTCCACTCCGAAGGCGCCCATCTTCCTCTTGCTCGGCGGCCAGCTCGTCGCACCGGGAAAGCTACTCGTTTCCACGGCTGCTGGCGGCCGCTGGGCCCTGGAGATGGAGGAGGGAGCAGGAGGCAGAACAGGGTGGCCTCCCCTCTGCTTCCAGCAGGGCCAGGACCCCCGGAACCTCCCCCTCCAGGCCCCCCTGGGCCCCGCTAATGATTATAAATGGCAAAGAACCTCCGATCTAATTGCAAAAGGTAATGATGCAGCGAGCACAGGATTAGATTCACGCGGCAGACGCTCTCCTCCAGCAAGAAACACCCCGAGGAGCTGGGTGTGAAGGTGCCCGGGATCGATAGCAGGGGTTCGGCATTAAACACCCGGCAGAGGGTCGCCAAGCGCTGCCGACAGAACTGCTGACGGCGGATGAAAACGAAGGAGAGAAAACTAAATTGGTCTCTGCAGAAAAGAGGTTACAGATTAGCCCCCCTGCGTAACATCATTCCGAGCCAGCCGAGGGGCCGCAGGGGCGTCCCCGTCTGGCTTCAGCCTGGGCTGCCGAGGGGGCGGCGGGGGCACTGAGTGTGCACACCACGCGCAGGGCCCACCCCTGCCTGGCGCCTCCTGCCCCCGCCCCTGCAGTCACGCCAGAGAGGACTGGCCCCGCCTCGGCTTCTGCTCTGCAGCAGCGCCCACGAGCGGCACAGGGGAGGAGGGGCCGGGACACGGCCTGCCCCCGTGGCCCAGATCCACGGCAAGACCCCGGGAGGGGTGGGGCGCCGGGAGCATGAGGCCCCCTCAGGCGTGCTGTTGGACTGGAGGGTTCTGGGTGGTGTGTACGTTCTGTCCCACACGTGCAGGGCCCGGGGACCACAACTGGCAACTGGCGGGAAGGCGGGGCACGTGCCCGAGCAGAAGACCAGCTGCGAGGCCAGCAGGCGTCACAGGCCGTGGGGGACAGGGGTCACAGGTCACGCAGGAAGCGGACAGGTCATCAGCACCGTGAAATCGGTATATCATGACTGTTCCCACCCAAGAGGATTTCAACCACACTGGGCGCACCCGGTCGTGAAGAAGACAGCACCCTGGAAACGAGCGAACGCGCCGGGACGGCCTCCTGCGGACAAATGGGCCGACAGCGCTCCCTGAGGTGCCGCTCGCTCGGCTCTCTGACGGCCGGCCCTGTCCGCCCACCAGGGGCTCCCTGACCCGAGCCGGGACCGCAGGACGCGGCCCTCTGTCCAGCCGACGGGTCCCATTAAAAACACACAGCAGTAGAGGCGCCTGGGGGCTCAGCTGGCTAAGCGTCCGACCTCGACTCAGGTCATGATCTCACGGTTCGTGGGTTTGAGCCCCACGTCGGGCTCTGTGCTGATAGCTCGGAGCCTGGAGCTGCTTCAGATTCTGTGTCTCCCTCTCTCTCTGCCCCTCCCCCACTCACACTGTTTCTGTCTCAAAAATAAACATTAAAAAAAATGTTTAAACTAGTCCCGCATGGGGCTCTGCTGTCAGCACAGAGTCTGCTGCAGACCCTCTGTCCCCCTCTCTCCCTGCCCTCCCCTCCACCTCCCTCTCTCTCAAAAATAAACATTAAAAAAATTAAAACAGAATATTACAACAACAAAACCACCAAGACGTGACCACGGCAGCACTGCCACTCACCACGGCCTGGCTGGAGCACTCCTGCAGGTCCCACAGCAGGACGTGGCTGTCCGCCAGCGAGACGACCCTGCTCCCGTCCCCCGTGGGCTGCCACGCCACACTGCAAAAAAGAGGAGGCCCGTTAACACGGACGACGGAGGTGCCGCACCCCTGCGTCTGCCCCACGCCCACCACAGTGCTGGCTGCCCATCCTCCCCACTCGGCTGCGGTTGGGGGGCCGCGCCTTCGGGGCGCTCCCGGTCCGCGAGGAGGTGAGCGCGGGCCGCGACGGCACCGGCACTCGCGTGTCCCCCCACTGCTGCCCTTTCCAGTGGTCTGTCTCGCCCACCACGTGAGCACGCGGCGGGAAGGCGACCGTCTGTGACCCAGGAAGAGGGCCCTCGCCAGGACCCGCGCTGCCCCGACCTCGGACCCCGGCCCCCAGGGCGTGACAGTAAGGTCTGTGGTGTCAGCCCCCAGCCTGAGACGCCCTGTGGTGGCCGCCCCAACCCAGGTGTCCCCCTGGTGATGGAGGGACGGACAGGTGACCAGCTGTGCCAGGGGGACATGAAGCTGCCCGCTGGTGGGCGGGGCTCAGGATGCCCACATCTTTTGTAGCTCAAGGACATAGCCGACACACTGACAGCAACGGGGGTGGGGGTGGAGGGACGTCCTGGCTATGACGTCACGTGATGTCTTCCTGCGCAGCCTGTCGGAGCAGTGTCCCATCACCTGGAGCCACAGCCGGCCCAGCCGCTGACACGCACGGGTGAGTAACTGACGGAAGACCCCAAGTCCGTCCCCTCTGCAGTGAAGCCGTGGGCAGGAAGGGTGCTCAGGGTCTCCATCTGCCCTGACCAGCTGGGTGCTTACACAGAGGAGAACATGGCTGCGTGCTGCCACGCGGGGGTGACCGCAGACACCAGGGGATGGAACACGGCACCAACTGATGGTGGGGGGGCCTGGGGCACACGTCCCTCACGCCAGCTCTTCAAGGCTGTCAGCGCAGCTGTGACCATGTTAATCACAACATTAATACAATTCAAAACCACAGCATCTTTCTCCTTTACAGCTGAAGAAGTCAGGTGACGTTCACGGCGCTGTGACCCCGTGGATTGCTCCTGCACCACACAGGGCGCGGCGTGTCCTCCCAACACTCGCGGGGAAGGTGCACCGATCTGGCCCCTCAGACGCACTCACGGCAGCCGGGGGAGACGCCAGCAAACCTGGGCCTGGAACCCGCCAACTCTGCAGACGGCAGCGAAGCCCCGAAGGCGCGTCTCTGAGCAAGGTGACCGGTGTGCGCTGGTGGCACGGGTGGGCCGCTGCGCACCTCACACACCTGACCGGGAACGTTCGCCAGGGACAACGCAACCCGGGGGAAGGTGGCGGAAGGGGGCGGCTGCAGGCTCATCTTGAGACAGCGACCTGCTTACCTGTGCCCGACAGGTCCCCTTAGCCCGGCTGCCGGAACAAGTCACCACCGGCCGGGCCGCCCGCACAGCACATGTTTCCTGTGCACACTTGTGCGAGAGCAGGGGAGTCCTGGGCGCGGCAGAGCGCAAGTGGGGGCCCTGGCACCCCTCTTCTAGGAGCCCCCCCCCACCAAGAGGGCGCCAGCCCCAGGCCCCATCCACCCCCCAGGGGCCCCACATCCTGATACAACACACCAGACATGAGGGTTTCAACACAGGACGTTGTGGGGCCAAAAAGATGCTGCCCACAACATGTTATACTACACACACCCCAACACACACACACACACACACACCCCAACACAATATACTAGGAGTAGTGCACTTAGGACTTGACTCCTGAGGAGCCCCTCACTGGACCTCAGACCCTACATCTGCCCCACCCCTACACACCCCAACACATATGCAGACACGCACATACACACATGAAGACACACACACATGCAGACACACATAAACACACACCCAACACACATACCCCAACACACATGCACACACATGCACACACCCCAACACACATATACACATGCAGACACACATCCCAACACATGTACACACATGCACATACTCCAACACACATATGTGCGTGTGCACCCAACACACATGCACACACCCCAACACACACACTCAACACACATAAACACATGCACACACACCCCAACACACACACCCAACACACATACCCAACACACACATGCACATACCCCAACACACATACACACACCCGCACACACACACAAACACATACACATGTGCACACACACCCAACACACAGACACGCACGCACACACATGCCCGAGGGCAGGACGCGGAAGGGCTGCATGGCCATGGGGCTGACCCATGGGGATGACCACAGGACAGGAAGTGCCCATCCAGTGTAGCAACACCACAGTCAGGAAGTGGAATTACAGACACGTGCAGACTTTTTAACAGAAACTCCAGAAAGCCAGAGATTCCCAGGAAACTAAAAATCACAGGTAAGAGTTAGCCAATTCGAAGCCAAGGACTGACTACTAATCATCTGCGGTCTCCCTGTGCAGGTTAAAGCCTGCTGGAGAGTAGACCCAGGCTGTTCAAGTCCGTTCCCATTCCCCACGGTGACCAGCGACGGCTGAGGCACACAGCACGTGATCGATACTTGCTCACGAGTGCCAAGGAAGAGTGAAGAATCCAGGTAAGAGCAGAGATGCCACATAAAAAAATGAGACCATTTCAAAGTACATTTAGCTAACCGCTAGCGCGTGGGGCTGGGAAAACAGCCAACAGCCATAAAACAAGAAAGAGCTTTAAAGGCATCTGAACAACCAGAATCCCTCCACTAAAGCTCATGTGCTCGTTTCATGCTTTAAATCGCAGTGTCTCTCAAGCCCTGACTCAGAGCCTCCCCCTGCCCACCTGTCTGCCCACAGGTCACCCATCTGGTGACGACGTCCAAAACCACAGAGCAAACACGCGGGCCCTGAGCAGCAGGATGTCTGAAGAAGGAATGTGGGTTACAGGGCAAGCTGTAAACACGGACCCCCACGGCAGAGGGGAGGGAGGAGGGAGGGGAGAGGGGAGGAGGGGGAAGGGAGAAGGGAGGATGGAAGAGGGAGGGGGAGGGGAGGGGGTGGGGAGGAGGGAGGAGGAAGTGGAGAATGGAGGAGGAAGGGAGGAGGGAAGAAGTGAGGAGGGAGGGGAGGAGNGGGGGAGGGGACAGAGGAGTCAGGAGGAAGTGAGACAGGGGGGGGGGGGGGAGGGGACAGAGGAGTCAGGAGGAAGTGAGACAGGAGATGGGAGGACAGAGGAGAGGGAGGGAGGAGGGAGGAGGAAAGGATGGAGGGAGGGGAGAAGGGAGTAGGGAGGGAGGAAGGAGAGAGGAGGGGGAGGGAGGGGGAAGGGAGGAGGAAGATGAAGAGGGGAGGAGAGCGGGCGGGGAGGAGGGAGGAGGAAGTGGAGAATGGAGGAGGAAGGGAGGAGGGAAGAAGTGAGGAGGGAGGGGAGGAGAACAGAGGGGAGGGAGGAGGGAGGAGGGGAGAGAAGGGATGAAGACTCATTTCCTAGCTCTCCCTGCTCAGCAAGAGGCATTCGTACCCATTCGCTGGAGGACCGAGTCCCAACCGCAGAGAAGGCTGTGGAGGCTAAGTGACAGGCTCAGCCCGGAAGCCGGATCCCAGAGCCCCAGGAGGCGGTGGGGAAGCGGCGAGCTTCCGAGAAGGCTCCTCCCCCGAGGAGCGCACGGGGCAGGCCCACCTCTCTGGCCCCCAGGGAACAGGCGCCTTGGTCTGGCTCTGCCCCAGGACTGGAGGGAAGAGGAGACGGGCCTCCTCGGGGACAGCGGGGTCCACCGTCCCCCTCACTGTCCCCACATCCAACAGATGTCGCGTCCGCCGCTGCACGCCCCCTCTCGCCGGGAGACCGCTTGCATCCTCAGGAATATCATCAGAGCAAACAGTCAAACAAACTTCCAGTAGCTGCAGAAGTAACTTTTTATGTCTAAAAAGGAAAAATATATAGTAATTCAAAAGCTGTTTAAAAAAAGTTGAAAGACCACAGGAGGGTAACGTTGCTTTAGAAAACAGCCTGGCTTGAAGGTTTTAAGAAAACCTGTTTCTTCGGGAACAAGGTCTCTCGTCACCTCTGAAGGTCGTGGCAACTATTATTCAGTTAACAGCAGCAAGGAGCACAGGAAAATGGGGGAAAGGAGGTTCCTAGGAGACCCTCCACCTGAGCCCGTGTGCAGGCCCGATGTCGTCACAGACTGAAAGTCCCCGACCGGGGCCCACAGCGCTGCGGCCATCAGCCTCCGCAGAGCCCGGGGAAGGCTTACTGTTGCCGACGGTCTAGCAAACCAACTGCCCAGGAAAGGCCCGCTGAGCCTGTGGGGAAACAGTGCAGGTGGCCATACATCTACGGAGGAGTGACAAGCGAGTCCCTGAAGCACCTCGGCTCTGCGATGCCCCGTTTCTCAGCAGACGTAAATGTCAAGGCAAAGTGAGGAAGGGACAGGAGAGAAGATTCACCAGAACCTGAACACGGGAACACTGGGGTCCCATCTCATCCAGAGGCCCAAGCCTGGGTTGCCCGTGGACGGTTACTCCTCTGCAAGGACCAGGTCTGAACCTGCAAAGAACAGGTCACTTCAATAACAACCTGTCTGCAGGTCAGGACCCAGAGAGGCGGGCTTCTGGAGGGCAGAGGGGCTTGGCTGAAACGCTGAGCCCTCCAGGGAGCTGGCCTGACCCCGGAGGCCAAGCGGACGGCCCCTGTCCTGGGTCAGCGGCGGCCCCTGGTCACTCACGGCCAGACTACAAATTCCACACAAGCCCGGACTCACCACTGCTGTAGGCCAAGCACCCGGCACAGAGTCCGACTCGCACAGGAGAGGCACTAAATACAGAGCTGATGAAAGAGACCGTGACCGAAGAATTAATTACGCTCCCTCTCGGCGCGTGTCCAGGGCACTTTAACGCATGAAAAATAAAACTGGAAGAAGAGTCTATTTATCAAGTACACTCAGTGAAGACTGTCCGTCTTGGAGCCCATTCGCGAAGGCTTGCTCCTCAGTCTCGAGGGGACCTCATCAGGAGGCAGTCTCGCTGGGTCACCAGGTCTCCCGCAGACCCCTGAACACAGTCGGCCAAGTACGGGACAGATGGGGGCCCAC